CAGATAAACTGTATCAGAAATCACATATGAAGTGCTTATTGGATAATTCTCCCCTAAATGATATAAAAAATAAGGATATAGAGATCATTTATGCAGTCCTTTGATAACTCTGAAACCATAAGCTGAAAGCAGAAAACTTACCTTGGAATTAACTGTTAATAGCATCTGCTTCTTATCAAGTTTCTTTTATTTTCAAATTTTTACATAATCTCACATGGAATACCTCAGATGGAGGTCTGTCAGGGTTCCCTCCCCACTCTGAACTTTAGGGTACAGATATGGGGACCTGCATGAAAGACCCCCAAGCTTACTTCTACCAGCTTAGGTTGAAACTTCCCCAAGGCACAAATTCTCCTTTGTACCTTGGATTAGGTAAATGCTGCCATCACCAAGTGATTCAAACAAACATCCTAAATGTTTGGAGCCCTATCTTCCCCCTAAAATCCCCCCAAGCCCTACACCCCCTTTCTTGGGGAGGCTTGAGACTAAACAAGATGAGCACAGACCAACCTTGGGCTTTTTAGGACACTAAAAAAACCAATCAGATTCTAAAAAATACCCAGAACTTTATTAGAAAGAAAAAAGGTAAAAGAAGCACCTCTGTAAAATTAGAATGGAAGATGATCTCACAGGGCAATCAGATTCAAACCACAGAGGATTTCCCTCTAGGCAAAACCTTAAAGTTACAAAAAGAAAAAACAAAACAAAACAGGAATACACCTTCCTCTCAGCACAGAGAAAATCACAAGCCAAAACAAAATATAATCTAATGCATTCCCTTGCTAGTACTTACTAATTCTGTAGAAGTTGGATTGCTTGATTTCTTGATCCGTCTCCAACAAGAGCCACACAGAACAGACAGAGCAAAGCCTCCCCCCCCTCTAGATTTGAAAGTATCTTGTCCCCTTGTTGGTCCTTTGGGTCAGGTGCCAGCCAGGTTCCTTGAGCTTCTTAACCCTTTACAGGTAAGAGGATTTTGTGCCTCTGGCCAGGAAGGATTTTATTGTACTGTATACAGAAAGGTGGCTACCCTTCCCTTTATATTTATGACAGGCTCACTGAAAAGTTCCATGGTACTTCGAACTAACTGATTGGTGATTAGTGTAACATACATTACAGCCCACTGTCCAATGAGCAAAATTCCATCCTTAGATCCCTCCATGCGCATCTTTGCAAGTCATGAATTTTACGATTCCATAAGAAAAACATGATTCTGCCCTGCTTAGAGTAGACCTGTCATTGGAGTAACATGGTGTGTACACCTGGAATAGCAGAGCACCCAGAAATCATGTGCTTGACTTAAGTTGAATCCCAAACCCTGAAAATCTGTGTATGCTACATCATAACAAACTGGGGGCTTAAAATATTTCAAGAAATAACTGCATACAAAGTGGTGCATTCAACAGGCAAAAGGAAGCTGTTGGATACATGCATTTTTCACAACTCTAACCGCCACCTGAGGGTCACATACAAAATCTATAAATCCAGGATAATCACATTGATCTGTAACACTCCCTCAAAGACTTTTATGGCTTCATCCTGCAAGGTCCTGGGCACTCTGGCTGCAAACCTGCAAAGCACTTAAGTACAGGCTGAAAGCTAACCTTGAGTGCTTTGCCGGATGGAGGCCAGGGTGCTCAGGCCCTTGCTGGGCAGGTCCCCATAAACATAAGTTATTCTTTCTGTGCAAATCAGTTATTCTTTGACAATTTCATCCATGCTATATTATCCACTCCTGCTCTTCAGATTCCACGTTCTGCTTCTTTCACCACTGCGGTTCCCAGGAGAGTGCTGCGGTTCGGCGGATATTGACTTCTATTCGCGGATATCCGCATACGGGGGTATATATGTGTATTTGCGCAGGGCTCTACAAGTGACCGTCCTGGCCCAGGCGGGAAGAGGAAGGGGCAGAGCCAGAGCTGGAAAGCTAGAGCCCCTCCTCTTCCAGCTATGCTGCCTGGGACTCTGCCCAGTGCAGCGCAGCGGCTGCCTGGGAACGCCAGGCACTCTCCTAGGCAGCTGCTGCGCTGCACTGGGCAGCATACAGGAGTGGCTCCAGGGCCTGGCTGCCAGGAAGAGCAGACAAATGCCAGGGAGAGCCAGTGCAGCAGGAGGACAGAGCCCCCCACCCAGGTAATGTGGGATGGGGAGGGGATGGGGAGAGTGTGGGGGCCCTGGGCTGAGGGCGGGGAGGAGTCACGTGGGGAGGTCACAGGCGGGTCACGTGGGGAGGTCACATGCTGCCCCTTTAGCTGGTTGCCCCCTTTGTGTCCCTCTCATGAGTTGCCATACCGGTAAGAGTTAAAATCTATTTGTACCACTGGGTTTCACATTTGCAGATCTGTGCAGCCCTTCCACAGCCAGATCCCCAAAAGAAATGAATGTTTTATGAAGGGTAACAATTAGTATTTTGTGCCTAGAGATAAGAGAGATTTTTGTTGCATAATTTTCTTCAAAGGGGATGAATTTTGACCTGTGTAATCATGTCTCAAAATGAAGGGTTGAATCCTGCTTTTATTGCTGAAATTATAATATACAGATGCCATATGTAGAAGAGACATCCATGTGATGAATTGCAGAGCCAGGCGATAAAATGAATTCATCACATACTCTGAACCACTTGCATGCTGCCCAAGGTTTACTTCTAACATTTCAAACTCATGAGCATCTTCAAAGGGCCATTGTATTTTTGGATCTCCTGATACAAAACTTTCTTTTTCCTCCCAACCCAATTTACTCTCATCATGGGCAATATTCAGTCCAGCATTAGAGACAGGTTAATGCCTGATAGGGCTAGAAATAGATTTATGCCATTGAAAAGAGGAGATAACTCCATGTCCCAGTGGGACAGGGCTTGATTCTACTGCTGGAAGGTCCAGAGGTATATTTTAAGTCATAACATTTATGCATGGATGTGTTATTTTAAGTTATTAGTTTTTTCATTTAAAAAATGTAATTACATATTTTTCTGCTGTCATGAGTTCTGTACTGCTGGACTCAAAAGGAGCCTAATTTTACAGACCTACATATAATATATATGGACACAAATACACATGTAATTACAGGACAGAAATGAAGGGATGTTCCCTTTGTGAAATGTTTGCATTCAATTCCTGTTTAGCAGTAATTTACTGTTCTAAACTGTACTCATAAAAAAGCTGCTTTTAAATCTTTGAAGTAGTCTATGCTAGTGCCTATGGTTCAACTCGATCTACTAAAATCAAGTTAAAGGCATTATTCTTCATCTGCAACAGGAAAAGGTCAAGTTTAGGGTCAGACTGAGCTAGCACGTGTAATCTAAGCACAAGTACACTGGGACCACTCTTCCTCGTCAAGACAAGGCCTCCGAGGGTCACTTTTACATTGAACTCTAATTCCAAATTTGACCTAGCTTCAGGTGGATATGGAAGTTTTTCATAGCCCTAATCTCAAGGTCTACTACATACGCAAGACAAGTATTAACTTTCCTCATTAAATCTGTTCAACAAGCAACTGGAGAACAAAAACAATTGTTCTTAAACAAGATTATTAATCAAAAACCTCAAAAGAACTGGAATACTTGTAACTTTGGCTGATTTGAATCTCTGTTTCTAAGAGATAAAAGAGTGACAGTGATTGTTTGGAGTCTTTTGTTCTGGTTTCACATGACAATGATTTGACCCAGACTGCGAAAGATAAATCCAGCCAAGTTCCTATAGGAAGATGAGCAAATGAAAAATTGTGCCTTTCACCATGGGTATATTTAATGTAATAACTCACTTGAAAGCAGGATTAAATCAATACCTTGTGGTTGGAAACACTTACACACTGTGGAACCACTTACACCAGACGGTGGAAAGATTCCGTGAAATAAGCAATTAAAAATATAACAAAGGGAACACCAAGGAAAATTAAAGAGGAAATAATTAAACTCAAAAGATGACTTGGAAATGTAAATTCAGTGGCACATAGACAAAAGACCCTGGGGAAAATACTTTGATATGTTAAAACACAGGTACAGTGGCTAGTAAAAAGCTTGAACAAATTCCCAGAAGGAGCAAGAGTCTGCATTAACCAAAACAGAGGCTAATGGCCAAGTTTAGAGTTGAGGTTTAGGGTAAACTAGGCCCCTGTAAGCTGCTAACTTGCAGAAGGCTTTTGAAGAATTAAAGGCCAATTTGGCAACATGTGAATCTGAACCCATCAAGCCCTGTTGGAAATTATTTAAGGTTAACCAGTCTTGACAGCCGCATAATTAAAATCTCCTACCTCTCCCTCTTTAACCCAGCATGATATCCTTTGGAGTTGTCGTTTACTTTCAAGCAGTAACAGTCAGTTAATTTCTGGTGGTCTAAACCTCTTGCCAAGTGGAATTTCTTGCATGTATCCATAACATTCTTTCTTTCTATATTTTTTCTACATACCTCAGTGGACCATAATTCATCGTGGTATTTTGATAGCTCATAGACTGATTTTTTTTTAAAGTTAGTTGGTAGGTTAGTATGTGTCTCCCTGATATATTATGGAAAACATTTTGCTTGTGATTTAAAAGCAATAAGATAAATGATGCATTTTCAAGAAAATGAAGGGCCAAAATTATACCATGGGAAATTTGGACATCTTAGACTTTGATGACATTACTCTGAATTTGCCTCAGTGTAAATGAAACTAGAATTGTGTAAAATCTTTCAAAAATTGGGAGAAATAAATTTTATTGTAAAAAGCCTTCAAGTACTTAACTCTGTTGTAACAATTCTAGATGGAAGTAGCAGCGATGGGATGGAAATAGATCTGGCCATTAAAAATAACACAACAAACAATCCATTTAGAAAGAGCGAGGGAGGAAATTTTTCTTGCTTTTAGTAAATTCTATCTATAAATGTTAAAACAGATCTGACTAGCACAAATGTTTAAAATTCAGACACAATGACATACACAGACACAACCATTATTTCCTCTACCCTCTATATGCAGGGATAATTTCAAAATGCAGATTTAATTACTAAGCCTTTCTTACAAACCTTTCAGATTTGGTCTCCTGAGGTGGTGACAGAGTTGTCCCATAACGAGAAATGGGTGTGGTAGGTGCACTGATTCCAGAATAAGGTCTTGTAGAGGAATAAGAGTTGTTGCCATAGCTACTGTTTCTGAAGTTACCAGAAGAATAGAAGGCAGGCGGAGAAAGGGAGAGACAAAGAGAAAGAAAGAAAATAATCAGCAAGCAGACATGTGGCAGCAAACCCTCTACTCATAAGGGGGATCAAAGGATGTTGTACCCAGAACTCCATGAACTTCCAGCCACATCCCCACCTTTGAAAAAAAGTAGCATGTCACTCATTTTAATATAACCCATAACAAGGACACATTTAATATTGTATGTTTTAAACTACTGGTATGGAGATTAAAAGAAGGATTACAATGTTCCTTTAAAGTGACAGCTGTTCACTGGAATACCTAATTGATGGCTCAGTTACTCAGAAATTTATTAGCTGGTTTGGGAGCTGATAATCAACCACCAGGAAAGAAATCGAAAAGATCAATGTCAGCAGTATTCATTCCAAGTGAAATAAAGGAAAACACCAGTATTCCCAAGGCATTGTCAGAACATGGACTCAAATGATTGGCTAATGTTTCTGCTGTAAATGAAAAGCATCCAAATTCTTTTCAATTAAAACATGAAGTATTTTCTTTCCCCACCCCTTCTTCCCCAACCTAAGTCAGAGCTTATGGGCCATTTCTTATGATGTCTGTAAAAAATCATAGCCACAGTTAAAAAAGACGTGTCTCTGGAAGCACAGCTTTAGGAATTTCTACCATCCATTCACTCCATTAAAAAAATGTTTGACTTCAATGTTAGCTTGTTGATCAAAGAGAAATTGTTTCCAGGGCTCTTGGAATGGTCACCGCCCCAGAGCCCTTAGTATCAATGTTTTCATCCTGGCTTTTCTACTGAGCAGAAAAGGCAGCTGCAAAGCTTTCATGTGTGTTTTAACTGCTCCACCATCATATGTAACTGACATGTCATGGGTGCTGGCTTTGGAAAAGTTTTAACCTTTCTTTCTACATTTTGGAAGAGATGCACCTTTTCCATTGGGACTGTATGCCAGATGGTAGTTAAATTATTCCAGGAAGCCAACCCACCCAAATGACAAAATTTCATGAAAGAAAAGCATAGTGTCGTTTTCTTTTTAACAGCTCATTAGATTAAATATACTCCATTTATTTTATCACTCCTCTTCCCCCTGAAAATGCTAGTATTGCATAATTTCACTTCATTCAGGCATGTTACTTGAAAACCTAGGTGTCTTTTTCAGCTCAGATTAACTCCTATCATTTTGCTTCTGGAAAACTGCTTTATACAAATGTCCAAATTTCATTCTTTGGGCTACAACCTGAAGTACTGATTGCCATGGGCTAGAGTGATACAGTTAGAGTAAATTTAAGCTAGGAATCTTTTATGGGAGGGACCTTGCTATGAACAGAATGGATTTCCTCTCCATATCCCCATACCCATACCGATTGTGCCTGTCTTAAAGGGCTGGGGTCCTATTTGTAAGGCTTTGTATACTATGTGTCTGTATAGCATAGGGCCTCTTTGGTCACATAGGCCTAAAGTTGCCACTGGTCTTCACTCTGATACAGATTAAATTGGTGGCCATGAGCAAGTAACCACTCTTCTGCCTCGGTTTCTACATCTAAGATATTGAGATAACATTACTTACATCTCTCTCATGGGATGTTGGGAAGCTTAAATGATCCTGGTGAAAGGGAAGGGAAAATCCTTTGAAAAAGGAAAGTGCTCTTAATAGTCCAAGTGTTGAGTGGTGGAATAGTATAACTCAATTCCTTTTAGAGTGTTTGGGGGCTACAAAGCACACTAACTAAGGGAGAGACCTTGGCATCTGTAGTCTGTCAGAAGCAAATGATGTCAGCTTGGATATGAAAGTGAAGATCATCCACTGCTTATCCCACTACAAAGATAAAAATCTGCATAACTTTCAGTAAGCATCATATAATAAAGAGACGTAAGTAGGGGATAAGAATCTGTAGTAACTTGTCAGACTTAATGATTTTGCATAACAAAATAACAATCCAAATAAACCTAAATATTTTATTTGCTAAGACTTTTACTATATGCAAAATATTTACCAATTGCTTATTGAAAACATGTGCATTGAGGATTTACTATTATGCTCAGTAAGGGCAGTATAACCACTAATCGGCTGTTAAACCTCAAAGACTTGCAAATAATCAATTATTTTATAAACCTATAATACTGTAAGTGGCTTATTAAATCTCATTCCAGTGTGTAGCTGGAAGTTTTAAATTAAAGTATGGCTGTTTCCCTATTTTCACTCAGATGATAGCTTTTTAGGATTAAACCTATTATACATCTCTTGTGCAGGGCCGCCCGGGGTGGGGTGGGGTGGGGTGGGCAAGTGGGGCAATTTTCCCCAGGCCCCGGGCCCCGCAGGGGCCCCCACGAGAATGTTGGAGGCTCCTCCCCGCCTCTGCCTTCGCCTTCCCCCATCCCCCGGCACCTCAGCGCACCATGTCCAGGAGCGGCCCTGGACAGTGCTACAGCCATGTGGCCTGAGCTCCTCCCGCTCAGAGCCCAGAGCCACGTGGTAAGGGGGCGGGGCTGCGAGCTCCAGCGGGCCGAGCGGCAGGAGCTCCTGGACACGGCTCGCTGAGGCTCTGGGAGAGGGGATAAGTGGCATGGTAAGCCCCTCTGAGCTGGGCACCCCCGACAGCCCTCACCCCCAGCTCTGAGCCCAGCCCCTCTGAGGCTGACACCCTCCTTACCCCATCCCGCCCACAGCCCTGACCCCCAGCTCTGAGCCCAGCCCCTCTGAGGCTGACACCCTCCTTACCCCATCCCGCCCACAGCCCTGACCCCCAGCTCCGAGCCCAGCCCCTAGGAGCCGGGCATCCCACGACCCAGAGCCCAGCTCCCCACCCAGCCCTGGGCAACAGTTGCACCACCCCCAGGCAGCGACAGCCCATTGGCACCAACCATCACCCAGTGACAGCCTATTATGTAATTGCAAATGGGATACATACCATTAAAGCATTTAATGTTTTTAAATAATGTATTTTGTGTATTGTGAAAAGGGCTATTTCACTGGTTATTTTTTACATTTCCAAATACATGTTACTATAGTATTGCAACGTTTTTTTTATAGAAGGGGCCCCTGAAATTGCTTTGTCCCAGGCCTCCTGAATCCTCTGGGCGGCCCTGCTCTTGTGACATAGACAATTTGAAACTGCAGAAAGAAAAGTTATGGCTGTATCTGTACTTAAGCATTGCAATGCAAGAGCATTGGAGGTGAAATCCTGGCCCCACCGAAATCAATGGGAGTTTTGTCATTGATTTCAGCGGAACCAGGATTTCACCCTAAAATTTCTAGGGCCTGATGTTGATCTCACACAGGTTTTACATCAGTATAATGCCAATGATTTCCTTGAAATTACTCCTGAAAATTATACCACACAAATGAAAGCAAAATTGATGCCCATAAGCCTTTTCCCCAAAAGATGCGTTGATCATGGTTTTTTTTACTGTCACTTAGAACAGGCCAGTTATTCACTATGTATCTTGAAGAGAAACAGGATGAAATAAGAGTATCGAAGACCAAGGAGGGAGAATCAATCATGTTAAAATATAGGCTTACATGACTAAAACTAATACAGTATGTTCTAGAAACAATGCAACACAGAGAGCATGTAAACAGTACAATAAAACTCTAGAAGATGTTCTTAATTCATCTAAAAATTAATGCCAGCTGTATAAAATCTACCTGTTTTCCCTGAAAACCTCTGCTTCCTTTTCTGTAACAGTTGCTGGAGACTCTTCAAAGTCATAGGAGAAAAGGTGAAAAGGGCTATGTGGTACATAAGGCAATTTCTCTACAGTTGGAGATGCCTTTGGAGTAATAGATGCTGATGAATTTTGGGAGGAGTTAAGTGAGACTGATGCAGGAGAGGATGGTGATGAATAAACAGAATAATGGAGTGAGACAGATGAATCAGGCACAGAAGATGAGCTGCTGGACGGACTCTTGGCTTTAGAGCATGAGGGAGGCCTCTCGGCTTGAGAAACTGCACTTGAGACGGCTGAAGAATCAGAACTCTGATTCTCATTCTGCAGCTTTTCATTTGCAACCTGGTTTACGTCTGGGATCTCACTGCAAGGGAGGGTGTGGTGAGGAGGGAAAGAGAGACAAGGCACAGCAGGATAAGGAGAAAAGGGATCAAAGATCACATAGTTAGGGGGGGAAAAGTCCAGCAGAGTCAAACAAAAACAACGACTTCCCAAATGTAGCCAATTGCCATCACTTTTAAAAAGCTAGGAAGCTCAAAGCTTTGTGTCCTAGAGGGATTCTTCTTAGGGTTGGAAAAAATGAGGAATGTTCAGATTTGGTTTAGAGGAAGGGAAGGGATTGAACCCAGGGAAATTCAGAACCTGGAATCTAGTTTTCATGAGTCTTTGCTACTACAGTTCTCTATACTATCCTCAAGTGGCCAGTTAAGCCCAAAAGCAGCCTTACCATACTGGATGATCTGGCCCAAAGAAAAGGTAATTTATAATGTATGCCCAAATCTAATGACCTGATATCTCAATACCACCCTGTATTCTGATATGACATGTTTATATAAGTATGTGGAGATCTACTGACACAAAGCACTATATCAGAGAGGGTATTATTTTATACAAAACTCATTTACCAGAGATGAAGCCCAAAATGACCCAAATCAGTATTCTTCTATCAAAACAAAACCCTACAGTGGATTTAAAAACAACGTGCTATCAGTGTGCTATGTACCTCTTTAAGTACTTCCATGACAGTTCTCACTATAAGAGTGTCATCACAAGGCTTCTACCCCATTTAATCACTACACGGGGGCTGTATGAGGAAATTGCAAGCAGATCAGTTGTGCATAGATGCCTGTGCTCCAAGGGCAGTAGAAAGGGGTCTTTGCATAGGCCCCACATAGCTTAGTGTCCTTGTAATAAAGGAGGACCAGAGGCAGGACAGGCAAGGAACCATAGGTTCCCGCATTTGTGCAGGTCTGTTAGCCTTGACATCCAGAGCCCTAGGCTGGAATAGCAACTACGGGGGCTGGCATTGCAGCCCTGAGCTGGGTCACTAGATTAGTGGGTTGATTTCATCACCCCTATCCCTCTGAACTCCAACTGTGTAGCACCTGAGTATTCGGCATTTGTGAAATTGGAGTGGATTTCACCCAGTAAATAACATTCACTACAATAATTTTGTAATGGATAATCATGAAATTACAGGAGTTTTGCAGAGAGGATGAAATGATTTGCATAGAGAATTATGAACTGCTAATATCATCCATCTTTTCCTCCTCAAATCTGCTGTCATAAATAACAGTGAAGATACCAACTCGATTGGACTAGAGCAACAATTTGTGTTTTTGAGGCCCAATTTCTCATAACAGCAATCTCCTCGGCAACCTGGAAACATTCATCTACTGTGCCAGATAAGAATCACCTGTCCATAGACCAATATATTCCCATAATCCCTTACAAAGTGCTCTAGAACAAATTTCCAGAGCATAGGTCACACCCAGTTATTTTACAAAGGCAGTTAAAGAGTGATATTTTGAACAACGATCTGAATATCACTCTAGCTATATCAAAGTAGATATTATTTTAGAAGTATGAAAGTTACATAAGCGCAAAACATGCCATATATGACTCCTCAATTACACCTCTTTACATAATGTTGTTTTATATTCAGGTAATTAAATAACTTGAGTTTTTAGCTCTTACTTTTAAGCATTGGATTAGAGGAAATTATCACTTAATTTTAAATTTTCAGAAGGCCATTGGTTAGATTTGCAGACTGGAAGACATTAATAACAACATTACAATATTTTCTTTGGAATTTGCACATTAAACAGTTTCCTTTCCTCCTTCAGCGCTGTAGAAGTCTGTATGAGTGTGGTTAAGTTTAAAAAAACATCCAATCTCATTTTGCAGAATTGCAGAGCCAAACATTTTAACTTAAATCAAATGGCTGTCTAGAAGAGAAAGCATATTTTCTTTTTCTGATTTATTTATTAGGATAAAGTTACCATTGGCCAAATCCATATGAATCTCAGAAAACAAATGGAAAGTATTACATGTGAACGTGTAATATTGATAGATAGAGTTTGTTTACATATACACATGCAAATGAATGCCTGTGTCCAGCTTTGCCCCTCAATTAAGTATTTTTCCCCTACAAAATTTGTTAAAAATTCTAAAATAACTAGTTGGCAATATTCCAGAAATGGTAATATTTTATATTGGATTCATAAAAAGAATTATAATCATGAAAAAGGCACATTTCTGTCTGTGATGATGGATCATGGAAACACTAATAAAGGATGCTCAGGAAGAGGTGCACAGAGGCCCCAGCTCAGCAAAGTATTTCAGCATGCGATGAATTGCTTTGCTGAAAGGGATGAAATTAGGCACATGCTTAATTTCCATCATCAGTTCTGCTTGTTAAGCCTTCTGAATCAAATGAGTGTAGCTAGTGTGCAATCCATTGGATTTTTATAATTAAATGCATTTAGATATTGTCATAAATACGAACAAGACTTTGTTGATTCAAAAGCCTTTTCCTAAGGTACTTTTTAAAATGAAAAGTATGAATATGTTTTCCAGGATAGTTGAGTACTATAAATTAGTAAGGTGAATTCATGCTACAAATATTGGTGGTGAGGTCAGGAAAGGTGAGAGGAGGGACACTGAAGCCCAGTACCTGGGTTTGACCTGTCTACTGGCCTCTTCCTCCCCCTCATCCTCAGTATTAGGCTCTGTGACTGGTTGCTCCTCTTCCTCTTCTTCATACTCCTTCTCCTCTCTGAGATCAAACCAAGGAAAGAGGCATGCAATAGGATAGAAAGAGAGAAGGTGGAAGAGAAAAAGAGATAAGTCGCCCCAAAACACCAAACCCAATCATGTTAGAAATGGAAGGAAAAAAAAGACAGAAGTAGTTCAGGCACGACATGAGAAACCATCTTACCCAACTAAATCTATCGAAAAATGTGTAAGCATGCTGCAGACAGTTAAATGCACTGTTTGCACTAGCTAAGTATTTAAGTATCCAGGACATTAAAAATCATACTGATGTTATCACAAAGGGATTATTAATGCATGGATTTGTTTTCCATATTTATATCTATTAAAAAAAATCCTAAAGACTGTTCACTTCTTTTCTAGACCTAGGTAGAGCACTGCTGCAGTGCTACTCCCACAGAGGTTTGTGTATCCTATTCTCCCATATCATAGCAACTAACTAGCTACCAGTTGAGCATTAGCTTTGCCAACATCTGACCTCTTGCTAAGAGGGAATGCCTATCGCAGCAGTGCTGCACTTGTTGCAATTCCTGTACCAGCCAGAAGTACAAGAGCAGCTGGCTTCAGACCATGGTTCATAGATCACAGTGTAATGATTTACACTGTCAATTCCTTAACTATAATGGTGCTGTCAGTGTTTTCTTTCACAAACCATTACATTTACATGTTAATTTGCCCAGGGGGGTTAACTCTGCCATAAATATTTGCTCTTGGGTGAATTTTGGCATATACTGGCTGAACCTTGAGGCAAAAATGTTCAGGCTACCCTCTTCATCTGAAGTAATATTTTATCCTAAAGGCTGCCTCATTCACAAAGGAGAAATCAGAAGAGCTGCATGTTTACAAAATTAGGATCTGAATGTACAACCACCCTTTTGCTGAGCACTCCTTTCTTTAAGTAGAACCACTGGCATAAAACTATTTGTCCGAGTAAGTGCTCCCCAGTGTGAGGAAGGGCTGCACAATCTGGCGCTTCCTGTAAGGTTTGTTAACTCCCATCAGGAGGTTTTTGGATTGACTTTGCCAAATACCTCTTAAAAGAGAAAATGCCTCATATTACAACAGAAACAGAAACAAAATACATGCTAAGATAAATCAGTATGATAAGTACCAGCTTTATACTTCATGTATTGATTTTACAGATTTTGGTTAAGATTTTCAAAACTGGGTTCACAAATTTATTTATAGCCAAATAGGGTGAAATTCTGCCCCACAGAACTCCCATTGACTTCACTGGGGTAAGACTGCACTCTGATTCAGTGTACCTCGGAGTTGCTGGCTGCTCAGCATATATGAAATACAGGACACATAACTGGTGCGTAAGACCATGTACCTACTGTTGATTCCATATGGACTCTGGAGTCTGTGTGGAGTCAGTTACAGGACTGGGATCTAAATATGGATTTAGAAACCTAATTTTAGTCATACGGTTTTGAAAATCTTGGCCTTTTTGTATGTACCTTGTGTGAAATGAAGTATACAATCATCGTTCTCATCGAGTTATGAACAAGGGATGTAGAGCACTACAGTAGTTTTGGTTGTTTCATTTGTCTTTGTCAGTCAGTGGGAAAATCGGATTCCCAGAGTAGAAGGGTTAACTATAGGACTGGAATTAAGTCCATATTTAGAAGAGTGCAGACTAAGTAAACTGGCCTTTATAAGCTGGTGTCACATGAATAACAGTCCCTTACAAAACTTCTGTACTTCACTTAGCCTGAAAGGAGTTTCTCTCCAGGAAAAGCCAACAACGAAGCATCCTGGAGAATTACAATAAAATCACCTAGATCAGCACAAACAAAGTTCAGCAGGTTAACAGTAACAAAAACATACTAAAACATAGACTGCAATACCTCATTTTCTGTGCTGTCAATCAGGCACTTATCATGAGTGCTAATTCATTTAAATTAGGGCTGTCAATTAATCGCAATTAACTTACACGATTAACAAAAAAATTACTTTCAATTAAAAAATGTATCGTGATTAATCGCAGTTTTAATCATACTGTTAAACAACAGAATACCAATTGAAATTTATTAAATACTTTGGATGTTTTTCTACATTTTCAAATATACTGATTTCAATTAAAACACAGAATACAAAGTGTATAGCGCTCACTTTATATTATTTTTATTATAAATATTTGAACTGTAAAAATGATAAACAAAAGAAATAGAAAAAAGAACAGGAGTACTTGTGGCACCTTAGAGACTAACACATTTATTTGAGCATAAGCTTTCATGGGCTACAGCCCACTTCTTCAGATGCACAGAATGGAACATATATTGAGGAGATATATATACACACATACGGAGAGCATGAAAAGGTGGGAGTTGTCTTACCAACTCTGAGAGGCCAATTAAGTAAGAGAAAAAAACTTTTGAAGTGATAATCAAGATAGCCCAGTACAGACATTTTAATAAGAAGTGTGAGAGTACTTACAAGGGGAGATAGATTCAATGTTTGTAATGGCTCAGCCATTCCCAGTCTCTGTTCAAGTCTAAGTTGATTGTATCTAGTTTGCATATCAATTCAAGCTCAGCAGTTTCTCATTGGAGTCTGTTTTTGAAGCTTTTCTGTTGTAAAATTGCCACCCGCAGGTCTGTCATTGAGTGACCAGACAGACTAAAGTGTTCTCCTACTGGTTTTTGAATGTTATGATTCCTGATATCAGATTTGTGTCCATTAATTCTTTTGTGTAGAGACTGTCCAGTTTGGCCAATGTACATAGCAGAGGGGCATTGCTGGCACATGATGGCATACATCACATTGGTAGA